CTGAGAGTCTTTGAGGTGCTTTTTTGCAAACACCAAGCAGGCTTTCATGTGTTTTGTACTGAGGAGAAGCTTCAGTCTAGCCACTTTGCTGTAAAGCCCAAATTGGTGGAGGGCTGCAGTGATGGTTATCCTTCTGGAACTCTGTTCCATCTCCACTTAAGACCTCTAGAGCTTGGTTAGAGTGACCTTTGGGTTCTTGGTCACTTCTCTAAGGACCTTTTCCCCCGATTGTTCAGTTTGACCAGGCAGTCAGGTCTTGGAAGAATCCTGGTTGTGCCAAACGTCTTCCATTTGAGAATTATGGAGGCCACTGTGCTCTTAGGAACCTTCAGTGCAGCAAAAAATTTATTGTAACCTTCCCCAAATCTGTGCCTTGCAGTAACCCTGTCTGTGAGCTCTGCAGGCATTTCCTTTGACTGCATGGCTTTTTCCTTGCTACACAATGTATTGTTAGCTATGAGGCCTTCTATAAAGAGGTATGTGCCTTTCCAAATCATGTCCAATACATTTAATTTACCACAGGTGGACTCCAATCAACATGTACCTGTAGAAACATATCAGCAACAATCAACAGAAATAGTGGGCACTGGAACTAAACTTCAAGTATTGTTGCAAAAAATCTGAATACTTATGTCAATGTAATATTTCATTTTTTCTTTTTAATAAATTTATAGACATTTCTAAAACTGTTTTCATTTTGTCATTATGGGATATTGAGTGTAGATTAATGAGAAATGAATTTCAACAACTGTAGAATCAGACAGCAGCATAACAAAATTGATAAAAATGAAGGGGTCTGAATACTTTCTGAATGTACTGTATAATCAAATCTTGGCTATAATCAAATTTTAAGAGCTGGAACAATTTTCTAAAACTAATCCAAGCCATATTTGACCATCAAAATTATTTTCTGTCAAAGCATCTGTCAAATCTTTTTCATCCTATGTACAGTTTTTCTGATATGCATGCCTCCTTTAAGGCAATCCAGTTTCTAAAGCATTTTCTGGATGCTGATTCAGCAATGTAGTTTTTTACTCAAAAACCTAACAATTAAAATTTGAGATATTTTTGTAGAGAGCTCTGTATAAAGTGTATTGCAGAAGTTTATTTTGCCCAGATTCCATGTACTGGGTGAACCACAAAATGGCACACTAATCAAAGCTGTTTCAATTTAAAGAATTTCTTGCTGTCAAATCTAGCTTTTTTGTGGATACAGTGCAACAGCTCTTATTCAGTCTTTCCATTAAATAAGATACTGATATAGAGATATACAGATTTACTAACTCACTTGAAATCAGAGCTAGATGTTATTTAGCATAATAATAGCATATCATCCCAAATCAGTGGATGACCTGAAAGATTGCACAATGTTCTTAGATATTATGGGATATAAAATACAGGCCTACTTTAAATGTCAAAATAATGTCAAAATACAGAGTAATAGTCCCGTAGCACCACCTTGTGGAAACAATGATCCCAGGTTCAAATGCAACTATTAAAGGAATTCCTCAATTCCCAGAAGCCACATATTAAGAGGTACACTATATCTCAAGAGGTATGAACAGACTACCTTTTCCAAGTTGATGGCAGCATTCAGCATTAGGTGGCATGTCAAGGGTAAGAGTGAAGACTAAAGTGGACAGGAACAGAATGAAGTCAAACAAACCAAAAGTTAAAGATTTGTGGCTAAACAAACATTCTTCAACTGGCAATTGCCTAACCTGTATTTCAGAAAGATCTGGAAGAAAGGTATCACTATCTTAGCAGACAGCATACTTTTGCCATCGCTGACTAAAAAAATTCAAGTTGTCTGAACCAATTACAAAGTTCTACGATACAGTTTTTGTGCATGTTGGATATAACCTAGGCAATCAGTTGTATCTAAAATGCCTGGAGTTAAAATGCCAATGGCCATCTTAAAAGGTAGGTATTTTTCACACTATAAGTCACACTTTCCCCCCCAAAGTGGGTGGAAATGTCTGTGCCTCTTATAGAGCGAATAATGAGGCGGGGGGGGAAGGAATCATCACCGCCGCCTGTAACAGCTGCCTGCGTTTGCCCCCGACGGGGAAGGCTGGAGCTTTCGCTGCAGAGTAGCTTGTTGCAGTTGGATCGGCCTCCTGGAATAACGCCAATCAGTTGTTCTAGGCAGTGAGGATTGCCCATCACCACCACCACAATCGCCATTTGGCAGCAGCAATCAGCGGTGGCGATCGGTGGTGACCAGCAATCCCCGCCACCACCATTAGCTGATTGACAGTATTCCGGGAGGCCGATCCAACAGCCAATCAGCTGATTGGCAGTGAAGGCTCCAACGTTCCCTGGCAGCAGCAGCTCAGCTCAGTTAACCGGTGGTGGATGCAACAGAGCAGAGCCCTAATAAGCCACGTGCTGGGACTTCAATAATGTGCTGAAACTGACCAGGCTATTTGCTGCAAAGACGCTAGCCAGATGAATATTGGATGGATGGTGAGAGGCAGAGACAGATTTCCCTCCTCCCTTGTTTTCCTCCCCAAAAGCTAGGTGCATTTTATGTTCTGGAGCGTCTTATAGTGAAAAAAATACAATACTCAAAAGTTATTAACCTATTGGAAACTAACACAAAACTAAAAGAATTATCCCTCTTGTAGGAACCTCCTGAATATGCAAACTCTTTATTTACTGGCATTCAAGTATTAGCCCAGGGGCAACTTCTGTTCACTTTGGTTACCAGCAGAAGCTGGAATCCCTTTAGTGGATATTAGCACTTCACCAAGAATTCAAATGAACAAACCTGAAATAGAAATTCCTTAAAGTTCACCCACTTAAATCTTGATAATAGAGACCAGAGTGACTTCAATGTCTTTCAATTCAAAGACAAATTACTGTGCCTTTTAGAGAAAACAAATGCTAAAATCACAGTATTATGTTCCTACAGCTAAGTAAGGAAGACAATAAGACAAAAAAGGCATGCCTATCAGTTGTAATAACTTGCAGTATCTGTATAGATGCTGCTTTCAAGGTTAGAGTGTAAATTTTATAAATTTTATAAAGCATTCCAGGAAGTTTTAAGATTCAAATTTTGTAATTTAGTTTCATGAATTATATTTCCATTTTTAATGTTTCATGGATTGTAAGTAAGAACTGAGTATGTTCAACTCAGCTTCAATAACAATAATTTATGAGTTGACAACAAGGAAATAGTAAAGTAACATTCATGGTTTCAGAAAGTTGAGAAAAAGTAAAGAACTCAGCTGGCTGAGAAAAAAAACTGGTGGAGTATTAAAAAATGTTAAGAGCACATACCGTATTTTTCAGAGTATAAGACACATCTTTTTTCCTCAAAAAAGAGGCTGAAAATCTGGGTGCGTCTTATACATCAAATACAGTATTTTTTGCCTCCTGAAGCCCTGCCCCCTCACCAAAATGGCCATCCATAGCCTTATGAAGGCTTTCAGAGAGCACCTGGGGGCTGGGGAGGGCAGAAATAAGCAAAAAATGGGCCGTTTTTTGCCCCTCCCAGCAGCACTCTATAAGCCTCCATAAGGCTATGCATGGCCATTTTGGTGAAGGGGCGGGGCTTCAGGAGGCAAAAAATACTATATTTGATGTATAAGACGCACCCAGATTTTCAGCCTCTTTTTTGAGGAAAAAAGGTGCGTCTTATACATCAAATATAGTATTTTTTGCCTCCTGAAGCGCCACCCCTTCACCAAAATGGCCATCCATAGCCTTATGAAGGCTTTCAGAGAGCACCTGGGGGCTGGGGAGGGCAGAAATAAGCAAAAAATGGGCCGTTTTTTGCCCCTCCCAGCAGCACTCTATAAGCCTCCATAAGGCTATGAATGCAATTTTTTTGACAAAAAATAGGTCCGTTTTCATTAAAAATGGGCAGTTTTTTGCTCTTTTT